CTCAAGTCTTACATTGGGAAAAGTGAAGGTATGGTTTAGGCAATATGTCCCTTATAAAGTAATATTATCCCTGATAGTGAACTACGCCCTCAGTAACGGACATCTAAGGTGGAGATCAGTAGAAAACAGTATTTAGACCATAAACTCGACTAGTATACTTAAATTCTCAAAAGCATAGACAGATGAGTTTGGCACTTAAATACTAGAAGGTTTCTAGTATTAATAAGGCTAACAAGAAAGTTGCCAATATACCAAACGCAAGCACAAACTATATCCAGATATAAAAATAGTTGCAATTAAAACCACATAAGTAAATGATTAGGAGTATAACCCACTTGCTATACAATGTAACAAGGTGGTATTCTAATGTAACAAGGTGGTATTCTCGTGTGCGTGTGTGTGTTTTGGAAGGGAAGTGTGCAGTTGATTGAGGGGAAATTATATGAGACAATAGAGTAACATTCACTTCTAGACCTAGCCTAATTATAGTCCATTTGATTTAGGACCTTTAGTATAAGGTCAGTACATTTGGGATTTTTCTTGAGGGGCTACCTGAGTATAATTTAGTTTTTTGATACATCACTTGAAGATGTGACTTGGGACAAGAGGGAGGAGGGTGCACACATAGATGGGGCAATGACAACATTGACAAAGGCCATAGAGCTTGAATTGTCAACTTTTGCCAACCCGCTTGTTCTACAGAGGTAGAGGTTAACACAGTAAAGGAGTTTAAGCATGCGTGGGATAGGCATAAGGCTATCCTAACTATAAGATAAGGCCAGGGACTAATGAAAGTATTTAGAAAATTGGGCAGACTAGATGGGCCGAAGGGTTTTTATCTGCCGTCACATTCTATGTTTCTACATAAGGAAAGTAATCCCTAACTTTGCAAAAAATAGGCGATGGAAAAAAAGATGGGGCAGGCAGGGACAGATTTGGAACAAGCCTTTAAAACAAAATCACAGAGCTGATTTAAATATATATATATATATATATATATATATATATATATATATATACACACACACATAACATTAAAAATCCTGGATAGAGATCATATTATAGAAAATGCAAAAAGTGAGTTGGCATCCCATTATGTGTTAACATGCCAACTTATTTATTGAGGACAAAGCTATCACTAATGGATTTGCCATTTTAATTGACTGATTAATTTATGCACTCAGTAAAGGTTTGCTATTTCTATGCTAACACTTCTTTACTGTCTCAATTTTTACTTTTGACATGTAGCAGAAGAAGATGGATTGATGGTTCCCTCAATATGAAGCTCCAAGGGTAATGTGTCAATAGATTGTTATCTTCTTGAAAACAAAGAATTAGAAAAAATAAATAATTCTTAGGCAATTAGGCTACAAGCAAACTGTCTTAAAACTACAATCCCAACATTACTAATGAAATTTTTAAATATATATATATATATATATATATATATTATATATATTCAGAAAAAGCATGACACAAGAAAATTGATCAATTTTTTTTATGACAATCTTGTTTTTATTGAAGTGTTTTTTACGTTTTCAATACAAAATATAAAAGGAATGCACAGTTAAATAAGCACTATAGAGGAGCATCAATCATTGTTACATTAACAGCGTTAAAGGAACACTATAGTCACCTAAATTACTTTAGCTAAATAAAGCAGTTTTAGTGTATAGATCATTCCCCTGCAATTTCACTGCTCAATTCACTGTCATTTAGGAGTTAAATCACTTTGTTTCTGTTTATGCAGTCCTAGCCACACCTCCCCTGGCTATGATTGACAGAGCTTGCACGAAAAAAAAAACTGTTTTTTGTAATTTACCTTAAATAATTGTATCTCAATCTCTAAATTGAACTTTAATCACATACAGGAGGCTCTTGCAGCGTCTAACAAGCTATTAACATAGCAGGGGATAAGAAAATATTAATTAAATAGAACTTGCAATAAAGAAAGCCTAAATAGGGCTCTCTTTACAGGAAGTGTTTATGGAAGGCTGTGCAAGTCACATGCAGGGGGTTGTGACTAGGGTTCATAAACAAAGTGATATAACTCCTAAATGGCAGAGGATTGAGCAGTGAGGCTGCAGGGGCATGTTCTATACACCAAAACTGCTCCATTAAGCTAAAGTTGTTCAGGTGACTACAGTGTCCCTTTAAGTTCCCCAAACTTTTTGAACAGTGGTAATATTATATTCCAGAGATGCAGGTGGTACAATCGCTCCATGTCCGTCTTAATTAATTAAATAACCCTAACCGTGTGCGTTCAGCTGTTTTACGATGTGTTAACATTGGTGTCTGAGTCTACGACAGGGTGAGGCTAGGTAAACACTATATCTTTATTCAATAATTAAAAGGTATATGATGTCTTCAAATAGAGGGTTACTCCTACCGCTTTCTGAAATGTTCAAGAGAGTAATTTTTTAATTGTGGAATTGAACCATTTTTGTTCTGCGAGGACTTGTTGTGGCTGAGCTTATAGAGGTCCCATGCTATATTAGCTATTACATTACGTGGAACAATGCCCAGGCCATATAATATAAGTAAGAGCACTTTGGTTGGTTAGTAGGCTCTCACAGCCAAGTCTTGAGACAACCAATCAGAGCATATTTAACAATAATATTGCATAGCATATAATGGCTGACATATTGACATAGTGTGGGAAAGATTTTCTAAGAGCCTTCCCAGCTACGAGAGCTCAGTCTGCAGTGAGCCCTCACGAGACAAAGACTGATTAATTTTATTGCATTGCCTTTTACAATTTTACTTTTTTATTTTTATTTGCAGATCCTTTTTTTTCTTTTATTAGTTGTATCAGGATTTATGGATTTATATTCATTCATTCTAAAATGTATTTTATCACAGTTGACCTAACAGCAGATTGTCAGCCTCAGCAGATTCTTTCCTGCTTTCTACTGGAATATCTACATTAATATCTCATTATAATTGATACTCAATCATTATCTGTGCTTAATCATTATCACTAATAAGGCTGCATAGGGACTCTATAAGAAATATAAAATAAATACATATGATCAATATAGTAGGCAGTAATTTTAAGCCATATAATATTTATAATACAACCACTTTCCATGTCCTTATGTTTTACTTAAATGGTAATTGATGTCGTAAGGCATCAGTCAATAATCAGAAGTCACTCCTCCTAAACCTGTTAAACTCATATTTTTAAATTACTCGTATGGTTATATTGACAGTTGATATTTTTTATTCCAAGATAGTCTATTACTAAATGCAGTCATCAATGTGTATGCCTTAATCCTAGCCTCCAGACTGAAACCTGTAATGTTGAACCTGCTTTACTAGGCTGGTTTTATCATGGAAAGACAAGTATTGGATTACACAGGGATAATCATGTACTTTAACATGTTTCCTGGATGTTATCTCCCATTGCTTTCTGCTTTAAAAAAGGTCTTTAAAAGTAAGCAGTGTGATTATCCAATTAATGATGACCCTACACAGCTGTTATAGTGGTTATGGTGCAAGGAGTGTGTATGGATTTATTAACTCTATTTTTATTTATTTATTTATAAAATATTTTACCAGGAAAGATACATTGAGATTTCTCTCGTTTTCAAGTATGTCCTGGGTCCACAAATCATTGCATTGTTACATTAGGATACAATAAAATACATAAACAATATTAATACACAATAGATACAAAATTTAACATAGAACAGGCAGGAAATATATAAGCAGGAAATATATAATCAACCATGACACGTGCATTCTGTTTTGAGGTATGTAGAGAGGGATCTCTTAAAGGACTTTAGGCTTAGGGAAGATTTTAAATATTTATAATATGGAGAGCAAAAAACATTTGCAGAGATGTTCTCTCTGTAATGTCACAAGAGCTAAAACCAGCTTGAGAACTGAGCGGGGACCCACCGAAGGGCAGGCTATTTTTGCTGCTGCCTGTTCTCAGTATTTTCTTGCACCCCATTTTTTGCTCTCCATAAGTTTAAACGGTAATCCAGACGTGAACCCTAGCTTTTGACGGAGACCTCTTAAAACCACTTTGAATTAAGTTGTTATGGTGTCCAAATTAGTAATTTAACCCCACTCTGATCTAAATATAATTCCACATACACTCATATTACTAATGTATGGCTTACCATCTTTCCATCCCAACAAGGGGAGCAATAGATCAGTACATAGTTTGCAGGTTATGCCCTTTAAGAAGTTAGCAAAGCGCTTTGGAAACCTCTAAAAAGTAAATTTATTGTTAATACTTTGTAATGGGTAAGCAATAAAAAAAAAATCATGTTATTCAATTATGTTCTACCTAAATGTTGAATTAAACTGCATTAAATGTTCAGACAGAAGAACATTGAAACATGAAGTTTTGCAAGGGAAAGCGTATGTTCCATAAATAACGCAGCGATAAATTAGCGGTATTTGACATATCACTCTCACATTCTCTCCTTTACTCTCTACACATATTCTGATTACAGCTAGATCTTTTATCTGAAACTGACCTTTAACAAACTGAATATCCCAAATACATTATACAGTCACTGCAACTATCTACAAAAATAAATCAAAACTGTTTTCATCAGTTAAAAACTTGTTATAAAACGGAATTTTCTCGGTATTTCTCATTTTAAAACAACGTGATCTGCAACATGACAGATGGGAAAAAATTGTACGAAAAGTGAATAGATATATTAATGATTAGAAAATAAAAAGAAGAAATAATTTTTAATAAATAAAAATATTCATATTTTTTTCTAGTGGTTGAATTAATATATTTATTTAACATCTTCATATTTAGTTTTCCTACTTATTATTGAACACATGACTAATTTCACTATATTAAGGGGTTACTTGTTAAGAAATTTTTTTGTGCCATTTTTTTAAGATAGGAGTGACTCCTTTATGTTTGTAGTGGTGACACCTCCTTTACATTTGGTATATATACCTCTGTCCATGTGTAATGTTTCAAACACTAAGGAACAAAGAGATAATCCTTTCATATAGTTACCATGGAGCTGACCACGATACTACTGCTAATTGTATCTGGATGGACAATTTGCCTGGCTTTACCTGTGCAGGTATGAATATATATACAGAGATAGAGAGGGTTTGGTTAGTTTAGAAATGCCACACTGTTACCTTGTCCAATGTGGGCCACATTAATGTGTATTTATTTTCCCACAGGTTGACCTTGAATTACATAGAGGTAAGTATTACATTACTACCTAGACCTGTACAGTTAATTATTGATAGGATGCATGTTAGTTCCTGATGTTGAGATCCTTCATGATTCTTTTTGTAAGGTCAGGCAAAATTATCATTTCCCCCTGTTAATTAAGTGAGAGATTTCAGATCACATTGTAAATTAACAGTGAATTTTGGTGTTTACGGTTTTTTGTGTTTTAAACATGACTGTGTAAAATCTTTCCTTGCTTCACTAGAACCCATCAATGACAATCTACTTCCTGAGATTAAAACGGTGTTCGAACTAATAGAAGAGGCAAACAAAGGTGAGATTTACAGAAGTACTCCAAAAGCCAGAGGTTATCTGACTATCTGTTTTTATGTGAAAATTATCCTGCTTATCACGGTAATGTGTTAAAGACAATTGTATCTCACAAGTATTACACCATAATACCGTTGCGATTGTTGGTTTTCATGTGTAGTGGAATTTGTGTGTGATTGATCTAATTTGTTTTAAAAATCACTGAAACATAAGTGCATGCATTTTATTAGTATTTACTTTCTCTCTTCCATAGAATACACCTGTTTTATTTTACATGAAATTATTTAAGTTTATTGAAATGTGCATGGTAAATATATTATTTTATTGTACTATTATAAACATATTATGTATACTTGGAATCTTGGAAAGAAATATCATTTTGGTAATTTGGATATTAAGTAATGCATCAAGTCAACATTCCTTTTGAAAAAAACATCATAATTCTTGCATTATTTTGCTATACAGTATTTGTAGGAAAATAACATTGCATCACATTTAATATTAATATATCTATTTAAGTGCCAGTGAGTCTCACAAATCTCCAATTTAGACTTCAATTTAACATTTTTGGATAAGTTTTTCAAATGATTAAATTTTTTTGGATAAACTTGTACAATTAGTTTTTCAAAATATTAAAAAATCAGCAACTTGTGAATTCATTTTTGAATGAACATGAAAATGAAAGAAAATTACAGTTTTCATTCATTTTATTCGAAATTGAATTTAAAATAAGAGAAGACTAAAAAAACTGAATTAACAAATGAGTCACCTAATAAATTTCAGTTCGCCATCATTTGTTCAATCAGTCATTTGTATAAGGCTGAACAAGGGAGTGTTTAAACTACCGCATGTGCTCACTTGCGATGCTGTGATTGAAGGTATGTCTGCATAACAGAGACCTATCTGTTCCTCCACCCATGGGTATCAGCTGGGGCTTTAAATTAAAGAACAGGGGGTGGACAATATGTCTATCCCATTTCCCTTCACAGTGGGTCCCTATTACGGGATGAATAATACAGGGTAGACATAATGTCACCAGCATGCTCCCAACTTTGGTCATCAAGTGGAGGCTAAATTCTATAACACAGGTATAGGGACTTTACTCTCCCTTATGCCACCACAACTGGGCAGCAGGTGGGGGCTAGTTAATAACAGGGGGTAATTAAATAATAATAATGATGGGGATATTTAATTAATAATGGGAGTAAATAATAACAAGTAATGTCCCCCCTAGCCCCTACCCCTAGGTGGTGAGGAGAGCTAATTAATTATTCCGTGCTCATTTAATGTTTCACCTATGTATGCAAAGTCAATTGGCCAACAATCCTTCCCTAATCTCCTCTGACCTGTTAAGCCACATGCTAGACAGTCCTTAGCTAATTTATCAATGTGTGTATCTACATATAAATACATTGTATGTAAGGGCCAACAATAAGTTAAGGTGTGATAAAATATTCACCAAGGATGGAGTAATCTAAGTATATCACTGTCTAAACAACTATATGTACATAATTTAAACTGTGTGGATATTCCCCATAGAGACATTAACCACATAAGGGTCACATGACATCTATGCAATCATGCAGTGCAGGGTTTTAACCCCTTCCCGACCGAGGACGGTTCAGGACCGTCATCGGCATTTTTGGCTTGCCGACCGATGACGGTCCTGAACCGTCCTAACGGTCTCCGTTACTTACCTGATCGCCGTCGTTCCCCCGGCGGCGATCAGCGTGGCTCCGGTTGTGGGGAGACTGCCTGCAGCCCAGACAGTCTCCCCACACTGAATTAGGACCCCTGGGGCCATGTGATCGCTCAACACAGCGATCACATGGTCACAATAGGTGTCCTAGTGTCTGTCTGCAGGGGGACTGTCTGTGCTGACAGGCAGTCTCCCTGCTAGTGTAAAATCATTAAAAAAAATAAAGTTAGTGTTAATAAAAAAAAATAATAATAATTATATGTGTATATATGATATATAGACATATATTATATCTATATAATATATGTCTATATATCATATATATAATGCCATACTAAGTGTATTTCTATATTAATATGTACTTATATTAATATAAAAATACACTTATAATTAAATTACACATGTATATATAATAACTATATATATTGTGTATATATATATTATTATAAAATATAAATAATAAGTAATTTAAATTAAATAATTTTTTTTCAAATAATAAAAATTTAAAAAAAAATTATATCTATATGAAATTTTATTCTAACTGTATTTTAAAATTAATATATATATATTTATATCAAAATACACTTAGAATGAATTTGTATATATATCTATGTATATAAATAAATAAAAATAATAGAAATATACATATGTCCATATACAAAATTACATAAATAATTATATAAATATACACGTAGACTTAAACTATATAAATATGCATATATATTTAAATTCTACGTGCATATTTATGTAATATTTTTACATAATTCAGTAATTTTATTGATTACAATTTGAGGGACCTGCCTGCCAACCCAGGCCGAAATTCCAGAGAATTTAATTTGCTAGCATTGTATTTTACCCTGTAACGTTCTACAACACTCTAAAACCTGTACATGGGGGGTACTGTTTTACTCGGGAGACTTCGCTGAACACAAATATTAGTGATTCAAAACAGTAAAACATATCACAGCGATGATATTGTCAGTGAAAGTTACTTTTTTTGCATTTTTCACACACAAACAGCACTTTTACTGATGATATAAATGTTGTGATACGTTTTCCAGTTTTTAAACACTAATATTTGTGTTCAGCGATGTCTCCCGAGTAAAACAGTACCCCCCATGTACAGGTTTTATAGCATTTTTGAAAGTTACAAGGTCAAATATATGGGTCAAATATTTTTACATTGAAAATGGCCAGGTTGGTTAAGTTGCCTTTGAGAGCGTATGGTAGACCAGGAATGAGAAATACCCCCATGATGGCATACCATTTGCAAAAGAAGACAACCCAAGGTATTGCAAATGGGGTATGTCCAGTCTTTTTTAGTAACCACTTGGTCACAAACACTGGCCAAAATTAGCGTTCAATTTAGTTTTTTTACTTTTTTCACACACAAACAAATATGAATGCTTACTTTGGCCAGTGTTTTCGACTAAGTGGCTACTAAAAAAGACTGGACATACCCCATATTGAATACCCTGGGTTGTCTACTTTAAAAAAAATATGTACATGTGGGGTGTTATTCAGAGATTTATGACAGATAATAGTGTTACAATGTCACTATTGATAAATTTTAAAAATGTATGTTTTGAAACCGCAATATCCTACTTGTACCTATAGCCCTATAACATGCAAAAAAAAGCAAAAAAGCACGTAAACACTAGGTATTTTTAAACTCAGGACAAAATTTTGAATCTATTTAGCAGTTTTTTTCATTTGCTTTTGTAGATGAGTAAAAGATTTTTCAAGTAAAAGTCAAAAAACATGTATTTTTTCCAATTTTTCATCTTTTTTTTATTTTTTTTAAATTAAAATACATGAGATTATATAAATAATGGTATGTAAAGAAAGCCCCTTTTGTCCTGAGAAAAACAATATATAATTTGTATGGGAACAGTAAATGAGAAAGCGGAAAATTACAGCCAAACACAAACACCACAAAAGTGTAAAAATATGCCTGGTCGCAAATGTACAACATCGCAAAAACAGTCCAGTCCTTAAGGGGTTAATGCACCTTGGTGGCGTAGACCATGAGGTACCAGCAATGGTTAATTCCCTGCAGGTATCAAGGAACACCATGTATGTTTTGATACCTGGGGTCCCCTCTGTCAGCTGGAGCCACAGTTAGTTGCCCCAGACTGACAGATGAGCTGCATGCAGTGCTGAAATTGAGCACTTTACATAATCTTTTACATCCTTTCAAATACTACACATAAGCAATCAATCCATCTCATGTTGCAATCACATCATAGTGCTCACAGTTACCTGTATATTGTACGAGCTAGAAAATCCCTCTTCTGATGTCAGTACTGACATCATCAGAGATAATCCCTCAGAGTTAGAATAAAGTAGTGGGGTTAGGTGGTGGAATTATTACTGGGATTAGAGGGTGGAATTAGGACTTGGATTATATATAGGATTATGAGTAGGATTGTGGGTAGAGTTAGGGGTTGGAGAATGATTGGGATTAGAGGTTAGATTATGGGTTGGTTTAGGGGTTATATTAGTTGTAGGAAAAGAGATTAAATTATGGGTTGGATTATGGGTTGGATTAAAGATTGGATTAAGGGTTGGAATAAAGGTTGGATTAAGGTTTGAGTTAAGATTGGGCTCGAGATTAAGGGTTAGATTAGGGTTAATTTCTAGTCTTGGATTAGGGTCAAGATTAGGATTAGGATGAAGGGCATGATTCCGAGAAAAAGAATACATGTGGAGTTTCATTGTACTTGAGAACAATAGTAGAATACAAATACTGGTTGTGTGCAATAGGAAGACATACATTGTCTGCAAAAAAAACCCACTTAACTAATTTAACTAAGTTTGTGATAAAATGGTTACATGAAAAGTGTCAAAATGCTCTTAGTTTAATAGTCTGGGGGATGTTCTTTCTACAAATATATTCACTTGTTTAGTGGTTTTGTATTCGGTGACTACTATAAAAGCTGCAATCTCATCAGGTTAAATTTTGCAAACGTTTAGTATTAAAACTGTAATTCAATCCTTGCAGTATTTGTTTTACCTTCTAAAAAATAATTGAAATCTTAGACATGTTGGGCATTTTAACAACCAGGACTAGTTAGTGAATCTATTTTGAGTTAGATTTCTTTACCTGCATTTGGTATGTAAAAATTATTAAATGTAAAGCTAAGAAAAATGCATTTTATCTAATGTGCTTTCCATTGTTAAAATTAGTTTATTGTTATTAATTATTTCATTATGGATCAAAAGAACCTTCTATTCACATATGTATATGTGCACCTAAACAGAAAGAGAGAAATTGTGGTAGAATGCATGCATGGTAAAAGACTCAAAAATCCCTTGGATTTGTTTGGTTTTTACTATTATCATAACATTTCATCCTAAATCCTTTCCTTCATAAAATAAATTTACAAAGCTCATCTCAAAAAATTGTCGCATTATAACTCCAGGTATCAGTAAGCCACTTGTCCATGGAGACATTGCAATTAATACTGGTCGGAGTGTGAAGAATTGCTATGACTGCTTCTGGCCAGCATCTCAGAATGGAGTGGTTCCTGTCCCTTATGTTATTTCCTCAGCATACTGTAAGTTGTTCCCAACGTTGTCATGTTTGCTAAAAATATTTTCAAGTTTATAACAAAATGTGACTTGTTTCTTCTCTCCCCAGCTAATATTCAGATATGGCTTATTAATGAGGCCATGAGACAGATTGAACTAATGACCTGTATAAACTTTGTTCAGAGAACATTAGAATGGGACTATCTCAGTATAGAGTCTGGAAATGGGTGAGTTTAAGCACATGGTAGACTGGTAAGAACGTATTAATAGATACTACAGCCTGAAAACACCAAACAGAGTAAAGTTTGGTTTGGCACATTTGGTATGGGCAGTACAAATTCAATAGCTCAGTATGTTATCAATGGCATGGAATATGAAAGATAATGAAGATATGAAATTTAGCTCACATATTCTTTTTTTATTTTATTTGTTACAATGCATATGCATTAATTGACATTCTTTAATTAATTTCTCTACATAAATACTTAGGTGCTGGTCAAATGTAGCAAGGCAAGGTGGCAAACAGATCATCAGCCTTGACAAGTCCGGCTGCCTTGGCTCAGGAGTAATCCAGCATGAACTGATGCACTCACTGGGATTTTACCATGAGCATAGCAGGAACGACAGAGATAATTACATTGTTATCAGGTGGCAGTACATCGATGAAGGTGTGTAATTTAAAAATATATGCAAAACCAAAACTCAGGGCAAATCAAACAATAGAGTGTTCCTAAAACAATGACTAGCGGGGAGAGGTTGGCTGAGAAATCTATTCACCTAGTAAATATCCTGTAAAAAAAAAAAAAGTTCAACAATATCCTTGTAAGATAAATGATAACTGTCCTATTTTTTGCAAATTTATTTAATTACAGCTGACAAGTACAACTTTAAGACAGAGGACACCAACAATCTAGGCCTTCCATATGATTATAATTCAGTCATGCATTACCAAAAGTGAGTACATTTTTTGAACAAGAACAACTTTTTCTACTATTGTAATGAAATTGTCTTTCCTCTTGGCTAATAAAAGATATGCCTCTCTCTACAGTACCGCTTTCACTAACACCACTGGTCAAACTACTATAGTCGCAAAAGGTGACCCTTCTTTTCCACTTGGACAGGCACTAGGGATGAGTCACCTGGATGTGATCAAACTTAACAAACTCTATAATTGCAGTAAGCATTTATTTATTTATAAAATATTTTACCAGGAAAGATACATTGAGATTTCTCTCGTTTTCAAGTATGTCCTGGGTATAACAACCGCATTTACACCTTTGTTCACCTTACTAAATACGTTACCTTGGATATCCTTAACTTATAGTTGTATGTCTGATGAATGTGACATGGATGTTTTATCATTTTCCAGAATTATGGATCAGAATTGTTTTTAAAAATAATCTTTCTGTTTCCTTAGATGTCTGTCGTGTGAAACTAACGGATCAATCTGGGTCTTTCTCAAGTGATGATGTCTCATTTGGACAAGATGGGACATGCCTGTGGTTAATTCAAACTGAGAGTTTTAAAATGGTTGGTATAAAACATATGGGATAAAACATAATTTGGTTTTTACAAGTAATATTATTACATATAATTACATTCTGTCAGATCAAAAGTTAATATCCCTGCTTATTTTAACTATTGCAATATTGTTATAGACTGACATGCATATATAACACATTTATAAAATAAATAACTGTTTCATATTGTCATGTACCCATGAAAATAAATCCACCTAAAGTAACTATATACTACATTTTCAATCCTTCAATTATCTGGTTTATGTATTACTGAACTTTACAGATCCATGTCAGACTATAATCGTATTAATGAGTCCCTCTTCCAGATCTGAAACTATATTTTTTGTTAAGATATTTCCAATGTTCTGTACTGACATGTTCCATAATCACAACCCTCACAATGTGATCTCCTGTTTTCAGGTTCATTTTCAGCTCAGTGACGTTAATATCCCTACTTCAGGTCAATGTTCTGGCAGTTATATAAAGGTTTATAATGGAAACTCTAAAAAGGACAATGTTCTCTTGGACAAGACTTGTGGAAATGGAATAATCCCACCTCTTGTTTCAAGCGGGAATAGCATGCTAATAGAATTTGTGAGCAATCAGGCACCACATCTTAGCACATTTAGAGGTGTCTATAAGACAGGTAAGTTCCACCTTTATGTAACACAAATACAGCAATCACAAAGTCTTATAAATGTCCTTTGTATTAATTTATAAATGTAATGTTATTTAATATAAATGAAACCAATTTTAGAAAATGTATGAGAACTCATGTTTTAAATATTACTATATATCTAGTTTTGTAAACATTACAATTAATCTCACAGATAGGGTGGATTATACATTAATATGCATTTTGTGAATGAAGGTTTAGTTTTTAATTGCTTACTTTTGAAGATGAATTGAAGGTGACCTTCAATGCACCTTAACATCTTGTTACAAATGCCTACAAATGCTCTACAAATGCTGGCAGTTTAGGGAATAAGATCCATGAACTTGTGATAATGACAACTGATAATGTAGATTTAGTTGCTGTTACTGAGACATGGTATAATGAGAAATGACTGGGACATAGCAATACCAGGGTACTCTTTATATAGCAAAGACAGGGAAGGCAAGAAAGAGGGAGGGGCGGCCCTGTATATGAAGGATAGCATAAAATCTAGCCTAAATAAAGTTAGTAAGGCGAACACAGAGTCAGTTTGGGTTACTTTAGAATTTAGTAATCACACAGTAACTCGTGTAGGTGTGATTTATAGGCCCCCAGGACAAATAGAAGAGTTAGATAATCTACTAGTTTGGGAAATAGCTAAAATGACAATGAAGGGGGAAGTTGTCATCATGCGTGACTTTAATCTTCCAAAATAGCCAGGAGCACACATATTCTAAACTTACTACTGGGATTGTCTCTAAAAAAAGTCATTGTGGAGCCAACTCGTAAAGAGGCCATAACAGATTTAGTGTTCACAAAGGGAGATTTAGTATCAGATATTACTGTAGGTGTAAGTTTAGGATCCAGTGATCATCAGTCAGTGTGGTTTAATGTAAGAACAGTGACTGAGTCACACCACACAAGAACAAAAGTTTTAGACTTTAGGAAAACAGACTTTTCTAAAATCAGATTTTGTTTAAAGGAGTCATTATCAGACTGAAGCAATTTAAATGGAGTACAAGATAAATGGGATTATTTAAAATTTGCACTGCTGAAGGCAACAGAAAATTGCATTAGGCTTGTCAGTAAAAAAAAAAAATTCAAGAAACCACTGTGTTACTCTGCAGATGTGGCCAAAATAGTAAAAAACAAAAAGTTAGCATTAAGTAATTATAAAAAAAACAGAGTGAGGAAGACAGAATGAAATATAAGATTAGGCAGAAAGAGGCTAAGCAAGTTATCAGAGCTTCCAAATCACACACAGAAGAGAAAATAGCACAGTCAGTAAAAAAGGGGATAAAACATTTTTTTAGATACATAAATGAGAAAAGGGAAAAAAAAGCAAGGATTAGTCAGATTAAAAACAAAAGAAGGAAGGTATTTAGAAGAGGATAAAGGTCTAGCTGACTGCCTCAATTAATATTTTTGTTCAGTATTTACAGATGAAAATTAAGGGAAGGGGCTTCAGTTAGGAAAAAGGACAAATGAGTCATTTGTTACATGTGAGTTTACAGAGAAAGAGGTTCTATTTCAACTGTCAAAAGTAAAGACAAATAAGTCAATGGGACCTGATGGAATACACCCAAAGTTATTAAAAGAGCTTAGTAGTGTACCTTTAAAAAACATACATATTACAAATTAAAGGATAATTCAGTTACTAATAAGAAAACATTGAAGTAGAACATGTACTAATTGAAAAACATTGTGTTTTGGTCACTACAGCACAATATTAGGTGTATCGCTGTTCTCCATTAATACACATACGTCTGTTGCATATATAGTTAATTCTACCTTTTGGGGGGAAAGTTATGCACCTGTGCATAGACAGATTTGAAAATCACTTTGTAACAGTTAAATAGAATATTGTGCTTTATTAAATTATATTTATTTACCCACAGTTTCCTATGGAGGAACTTTAACCAGCCCTTTTGGAATAATCTTCTCTCCATCCTATGGCAAGGCATATCCCAACGATATAGATGCTGAATGGTCTATTATAGCTCCACCAAAGTCTAAAGTAAGGTCAACCAGGGTACAACAATGTGTCAATACAAATTAGGTTGAAGTAAAATGTTTTTTGTCGAAAACATACATATCATGCAAGTTTTATTTGTTTTTATTTTATGTCTTATATAGTATCAGTGTAAAAAAAATGAAGCAATAAGAAGAAACTATTGCATGAAAAATAATTAAGCTAGTAGTATGACAATAAAGAACCTTGTTGAGTTCTAAAGAACATCAAACATGGTTCTGCCAATGTCCTCTTTAACTTAAGATGGGTATTTTCTTCTAGGTGGTTCTGAACTTCATTGATTTTGACCTGCAAGATTGCTCAGATTGTTCCTGTGACTCTCTGACTATAATTGATGGTACCGGCCCAACTTCCCCAGTCCTGGGCAAATACTGCAGCACTACTGCACCCGATTCTTTGAAATCTTCTGGAAATGTGATGATATTGAAATTTCACAGTGATAGCAAGACAAGTTCTTATGGTTTCTATCTCTCATATTCTTTGGGTAAGGATCAACAATGAAAAATCAGTCACAAGCATTCACCACAGCAGCAATATTTTATAATGAGCCTTTAAATTATTAATTGCAGCTTGTTTATCTATTAAATTACATTTCTGGATTTGTTTTTCCTTAATTCCTGGTTTTATCTTGAACAGCTTGATTTTTTTTATAGTACTTATAGTGATGCTTACGTGTTTCTCCACTCTCTATAATGATGGTCAAATAACTTGCCCTTTACTATAAATGAATACTGACTTTTATCAGTGTTTTGCTATATTTTCCTGGTTAAAGGCAGAAAAAAATCATATACTACTCTTTTTTTTTTTCTCCCAACTGTCAAAATAAATTTACTAATAAGGTTTCTTTTTTAATCTTATGCATACATGGGTTCTAAAAGTAGAAGTTATTTTTTAATATAATATGCATTCTGCTATATGTATGAATATGCAGTGTATCTGTGCATGGCAGACTTTTTACATGTTATGTGTATGGATACATTTTCTAGGTCTAAGCAATTTCACTAATCATATCAATTACACTGTTCTTAATGTTCAGACCGTAAGGACACATATAGAGTAATACTAGGATGTGCAACGTGCTAAATGTCATTAAAGCATGTCCTTTCTATTTTCTTATGGCAGCTCTAGCCCCCTTCTGTGACTTGCCATGACTGACAACTGGTATAGAAAATGTTTATATTATATTCAGATATTCAGAGACTAGCATTAAAATCTGCATAATAAAAATGGTTAAAATGCAAGAAAAAATATTTATCGGTATATAAATGTTTATAGTATTTATTAATGCAATAAGTACACATTATAATAAATTATGTAACAAGTAATTCGTTTTGTAGTTTTTGCTTGATTTTGACACAGTAGCACTGTAATATTTTTCTTTTTAGTTTTAAAATGAATACAGATATTGCGGCAAATAATATAATATGATGCAGTTTGACGAAGCAATTTTTAAATTTTATTATTGTTGAGTTTACTGTGCAGGGGCACGTGCTTAGAACAGATAAAAATCAATATAATTACGCTTTAAAAAAAAAAAAAGTCAGAAGAACGAAGCCACAGAAGGACACTGGACACTTTTGAGAAAGGCTGGGTTTACCCGAAACGCATTACATGAGGTGGACTATATGTTTTTTATGTTTGGAATCAAGTGTATGTTAAGAGCTTCAATAAAATTGTTAGCCCTGACTTACTTTGCATGCTGGAGTTCATAAAGCTTAAAGGTATTGGAAACCAGGTGGGAAGCTGCACTAAACATAGAAACATAGAATGTGACGGCAGATAAGAACCATTTGGCCCATCTAGTCTGCGCAATTTTTAAAATACTTTCATTAGTCCCTGGCCTTATCTTATAGATAGGATAGCCTTATGCCTATCCCACAGATGCTTAAACTCCTTTACTGTGTTAACCTCTACCACTTCAGCTGGAAGGCTATTCCATGCATCCACTACCCTCTCAGTAAAGTAATACTTCCTGATATTGTGAGGATATTTATGGGGTGATAAATATTAAAATAATATTTTCATAAAAATTATCAAAAATTAATTAAATTTTTATTACATCAAAAATTTATATCTTGGCACTGTATCCCCGAAATTAATAATATAAGATTAGAATTTCCCATTATATTTAATTCTCTTAGATCCTAGAGGACGTTCATTTGAGGATTTACTTCACACAGTAATCACAATTTCATTATAAAAATATAATTTATTGTGACAATAATAATAAAATAATATGTAACGTGTGACAATAAATCAGTGATTATTTAGTATAACATAGGCAATGGTTTAAACACAATACAGCGACTGAGCAACCAACTGTCAAGAACTTAACAAGATTTATGATAGGGCACTTCACTTAGAAACCAATCTCACACAGAAAACAGAATTCCACAGAATACAACAGGGCAGCGAAAAGCAATAAAAGCTTTTGCTGACTGTTACATCACACTGATTAACTCTTCCAATGCTGGCTAAAAATCCTCATAGGCAATATATATCCTAGTATGTTGCAATTTTTACTATTAAAGTAATGTTCATACCAGATCATTAACCATTCCTGGAACCATCCAATAAGATTTTACATTAGCCGAATTTTAATTTTCCTAGATAAGATACACTATCTTATTTCAGAGCAAATCAATACATTTGAATAAAAACATCAGTATGCTAACGAGACAATTTATCATTAATATATTGTTATCTTTATTCCACCTGCAGAAATTGAATTTTTATAACTATATATTCTTAGCTAACTACGATTTCTAATGATTGAAATCTGACAGAGATTTATCCAGATATATATTCCATTCCCCATCTGCTGTGAGACATGATTCCTTATCACTTATCTTGTTTACATAACGCATTCCTTAGCTCGGACTTGAATGAATAGAGTTACAGATAGAAAGAAATGCTATGTCTTTCTTAGCCTGAAATACAAGATGGAGTCAGCTTTGTTCTGAGTGACTCTGGCAATATACACTTTTAATTTCTATCTTAGCACAAAATTTCTGCCGATATAAATATACTGACAATATTATTTTTAAACCTTTGCCCCTCTAATTTAAGACTATGTCCTCTTGTTGTGGAGGTGTTTCTTCTTTTAAATATAGTCTCCTCCTTTATTGTGTTGCTTCCCTTTATGTATTTAAATGTTTCTATCATATCCCCCTGTCTCGTCTTTCGTCCAAGCTATACATTATTGTTACTATTATTATCGCCATTTATATAGCACCAACAGATTCCATAGCGCTTTACAATATTATTAGAGGTGGATTAAATTATAAATAGGACAATTACAAGAAAACGATAGGTTGAAGAGGGCCCTGCTCAAATGAGATTACAATCTATATACATGTTAAGATCCTTTAAACTTTCCTTGTAAGTTTTATCCTGTAATCCATGAACCAGTTTAGTAGCCCTTATCTGAACTCTTTCTACAGTGTCACTATCCTTCTGGAGATATGTCCTCCAGTACTGCGTACAATACTCCAAGTGAGGTCTCACCAGTGTTCTGTACAATGGCATGAGCACTTCCCTCTTTCTACTGCTAATACCTCTCCCTATACAACCAAGCATTCTGCTAGCATTTCCTGCTGCTCCATTACATGATCTGCCTACCTTTAAGCCATCTGAATTAAATACCTCTAAATCCCTTTCCTCAGATGTTGAGGTTAGGACTCTGTCAAATATTCTGTACTCTGCCCTTGGGTTTTTATGTCCAAGATGCATTATCTTGCACTTATCCACATTAAACTCTGACCATTTTTCTAGTTTACTTAAATCATTTGCCATTTGGCTTATCCTTCCTGGAACATCAACCCTGTTAAATATCTTAGTATCATCAGCAAAAAGACATACCTTACCATCAATACCTACTGCAATATCACTAATAAAAATATCAAAGCGAATAGGTCCAAGTACAAATCCCTGAGGTACCCCACTGGTGACAAGCCCATGCTACGAATATACTCTATTGACTACAACCCTTTGTTGCCTGTCACTCAGCCACTGCCTTACCCATTCAAGAATATTGGAATCCAAACTTAAAGATTGCAGTTTATTGATAAGCCTTCTATGTGCAACAGTGTCAAAAGCCGTACTGAAATCTAGGTAAGCAATGTCTACTGCACCACCCTGCTCTATTATTTTAGTTACCTAATAAAAAAAATCAATAAGACTAGCTTGGCATGATCTCCCTGAAGTAAACCCATGTTGTCTCTGATCTTAAAATCCATGTGATTTTAGATGTTCAACAATCCTATTCATTAATATGGTTTCCATTACTTTCCCCACTTACTTTCCCCACTCTTCCCTACTACCTTTCTTGTGAATGGGCACAACATTCGCTAACTTCCAATCTTCTGGGACTACTCCTGTTAACAATGATTGGTTAAATAAATCTGTTAATGGTTTTGCTAGTACACTACTAAGCTCTTTTAATAACTTTGGGTGTATTCCATCAGTTCTCACTGACTTATTTGTTTTTACTTTTGACAGATAAAATAGAACCTCTTCCTCTGTAAATTCACATGTAACAAATGACTCATTTGTCCTTTTTCTTAACTAAGGCCCCTTTCCTTCATTTTTATCTGTAAATACTGAATTAAAATTTTAATTGAGGCAGTTAGCTAGACCTTTATCCTCTTCTACATACCTTCTTTCTTTTGTTTTTAATCTAACTAATCGTTGTTTTACTTTCCTTTTCTAATTTATGTATCTAAAAATAGTTTTGTCCCCTATTTTTACTGACTGTGCTATTTTCTCTTCTGTGTGTGATTTGGAAGCTCTTATAACTTGCTTAGCCCCTTTCTGCCTATACTTATAGATCTGTCTATCTTCACACTTTGTTTTTTGTTTTTTTAATTACTAAATGCTAACTTTTAGTTTTTTACTATTTTGGCCACAATTTTCTGTTGCCTTCAGCAGTGCAACTTTTAAATAATTTCTCTTGGACTTCATTTAAATTGCTCCAGTCTGATAATGACTCCTTTAGACATATTCTAATTTTAGAAAAGTCTGTTTTTCTAAAGTCTAAAACTTTTGTTTTTTTGTGTGGTGTGACCCAGTCACTGTTCTTATAATAAACCACACTGACTTATGATCACTGGATCCTAAACTTTCACCTACAGTAATATCTGATACCAAATCTTCAATGTATATTTAAAGCAGTGCAATCTTGGTCCCTGCTCGTCTTTGCTGGAGGCATTGTTATGCTTACAAAAGGTATAATCCTTTATTACATGTCAAACATCACCAGAAATATATTGATCAACTCTGTATGAGTTACATTTGGCAAAACAAATGTTGAAGTAGTCATGAGCAGTACCCTCATTAACCCAATCCCAACATACTGCTCAGAAGAACTTTACAAATATTTCAAGCACTGAGATCATTTGAATGATTTGAAGTAGTCATGGTGCTTGGAGTCTGTATGTTCAACATTTCAGTATGAAAATATAGCACATGTGGACATAAGTGTTGGTTGGGATGAGAGGAGC